GGGACCCTCCTGAGGGGCTGCGGGAGCACATGCTGGGAAGCATCAGCACTCCTGGCCCCGGCGCTTCCAGAGTTCTCCTAACGCCTGTGTACTTCTGTCTTTAGCCACCTTGACTTGGTCCCAGCCAGATGTTCATGGTGATCCCCCTTCTCCTCGGCATGGACATGTGGTGGTTGCAGTTGGGACCAAACTTTTTATACATGGCGGTTTAGCTGGTGATGTTTTTTACAATGATCTGTTCTGCATTGACATAAGTGAGTATGGCTACAGGTTCCTTAGAGCAATAGCTATTGCACAATGTATTTTGCTTTCAGGGAGACCTTTTTTTTCTAAAAGACAGTTCTTAAGTGCAGTAGATATGTTTCAGGAAGGAGGATGCGGGATGAGGTACTCTTCTTTTGCTCTTTCTACCCAGGTAAGCACACGGGAAGGGAGTTGTGCAGGCTCAGCCGCTCCTCCTCAGGCAGGAGGAAGTCTCCCTCACCGCCCCAGTGTGTGAAAGCCTCCATTACACTGTTTTGTCCATGATATAAGAGACGCAAGTGTTAATGTGAAAAGAGTTAATTTAATTAAAGCTGGGCAGCTCCATTTCATGGGAAGGAAACCACCTTCTCCTCCTCAGGAGGAAACGTCTGTGAATATTGTCACTTCTTGTTCAGCTTTACACAAAACCGCACACTCCTCCTGCAGAGCAGTATCCAGTAGCCTGCAGCTGAATTTGGATGCTTCTCTCTAAAAGAAAGAGCAGTGTTTGTGGTGTGAACTCTGGAAAGCAAAGCCTTACAGTGAACCCTCTTTTTAAAAATAAAGGAAAACCAAATATTGGGGTAGTTTCCCTGAAATGTATTGTTATCCCATTTACACTTAAAAACAGGGCTTTTATTTTTCATTTGTAAAGCATGGCCATCGCTACGTGTTGTTTTTCTCCAGCAGATGACATGAAGTGGGTTAAGATATCGGCTACGGGCGACGTCCCAGGAGGACGGGCAGCTCACTCTTCCGCTGCGTTCAAAGAGCACTTGTACATTTTCGGTGGGATGGATCCAACCGGGGCGCTGGATACTACGTACAAATATCACATAGGTAGGGGGGCTTTTCGTAGCTGTGCACTGGTAAATACTACTCTGTCTGAAATACTACCCCTGCTCTTCAGTTTCATCTTAGTTTCTTTACGCCAGTGTAATACTAAAGTAATGCTGACCTTAGCTCTAGTACTTTTTGTAAAGATACAGTAAATGTAGTAGCAAAGTAGCCCGTGACTGGCGGTGCTGCTGTTCCCGTTCCAGGTGTGTCTGACTAAAGCTGTCCTCCCTCTCCTGCCCCGCAGAGCAGCAGCAATGGACACTCCTGCAGTTCGAGTCCCCGCTGCCCGCAGCAAGGCTGGACCATTCCATGTGCGTCATTCCCTGGCACACTCACGCCAGCTGCGATGATGCAGATGAAGATGAAGCAGGGAAGGGAGCAGCAGTGCTGGGCAGCGACGCGGCTGACCTGCTGCAGAGCACCGAGGAGGCGGCGGGTGCTGAGGAGCCCCCGCTGCACCTGCTCTTTGTGTTCGGAGGGATGAGCGCGCAGGGGGAGATGCACAGCGACTGCATTGTGAGCCTCATCGAGTAGCGGGTGCGTGCGGGATCCCTGCAGGAGCAGCTGCTCCTGCTCGGAGCAGTGACAGGAACTGAAGTTTTCAATAAAGCTCCTGCCCTCCCAGGCGGGTGCTGATGCCTCCAGCATGCCCTGGCTCCACATCCTTGGTATGTCCCAGCTGGGGAGCAAGAGCCTCTACCTCCACAGGGCAGTTCCAGGGGGAAGGAAACAAGGCCTGAGGGAGGCTGCAGTGCCAAGGAGTGACCCTCCTCCCCTCAGCAGAACCTGCTCTTACACCATGCAGGTAGAGCTGGGTTTAAGCACAAGGCTACACACACCTGCAGCCAAAGCAGTTTTCTTGTGCCAAGGGTGGCAAATGCAGAGTTCTGCACACAGGGATTATTCCTTCCTTGCCCTCAGAACATGGGCCATAGTTGTGGAGGTCGGTTTTTGCTGTTGATCTAAGAAGTTTAGGGTAATGTTTTAAGCTCAAGGCGCTGTAATAGGACAGGACTGACACCTGATACCTCAGGCAGCAGCTGAAGCCTTAAAAGCTGGCTCTTAAAAGCTAGTGTGTAGTAAGCTAGAGGTATTTCAGAATTATGTAATACAAAGTTTAAAACTACACTTTGAAACCATATCAGATCTCTACCCACTTATTGTCACCTCTCCCCCAGCAGACTAGGGCCAGCTATCTAAATAGCTGGACTATGATCCAAGTTTCTGCTTAGATGAATCATCTAAGATCTGAGAACTGTACTAACTAAACTAAAGCAGTACTCTAGGAAAAAAGAAGTCCTCATGGTGAAGAGTTACTCTAGCAATATATGATCAAAGTAACACATACCTACAAGGTGTGTAGCAACACCAGCTACTTCTACCAAGAGGAAAAACCAAGCTAGAACAAAATCCAGTGTAAATAACAAATTTATTGTGGTCACTTCAGGTAGAAAAACTCTACACCAAATGCACATGACCCAGCTGTTAAATAGAATACTTCCACTGCGGATACTTCTAAACCCCCTTGTCATTTACACTCCCCCCGCTACCCTGCCCTCCCCCAACAACAAGCAACTGCTAATGAAAAGCAGTAAACAGCCACTTCGGGCTAGCATTTCCAGCTCCACTCACGAGTGAAGATTCAGAGTTACATTCCAAGTTAGAGTTCATATTTAAACAAGTGTTCCTGAGTCCAATATATATACACACACCACATTCAGAGATGCCAGTATCTACAATTCATCCTTTTCTCCTGCTTCTTCTTCACCAGGGGGAGGGCCTGCACTTCCGTAGAGCTTACTAACAATTGGCTGAACAACTTCCTCCAGCTCCTTCTTTTTCGCTTTGAAGTCTTCTATGTCAGCATCCTGATGGCTTTCAAGCCACTCAATCTTTTCCTCTACTGCTTTCTCTATTGTTTCCTTGTCTTCAGAGGAGAGCTTGCCACCCAGCTTCTCCTTGTCTCCAATCTGATTCTTCAGGGAGTAGGCATAGCTTTCCAGCTCATTCCGGGAATCAATACGTTCTTTAAGCTTCTTGTCTTCCTCAGCAAACTTCTCAGCATCATTAACCATTCTCTCAATCTCTTCTGGTGTCAGCCGATTCTGATCATTTGTAATTGTGATCTTGTTTTTGTTCCCAGTGCCCTTGTCTTCAGCCGTGACTCGGAGGATCCCGTTCACATCTATCTCAAAGGTAACCTCAATCTGTGGGACACCACGAGGAGCAGGAGGGATTCCCGTCAGGTCAAAAGTTCCCAGAAGATGGTTATCTTTGGTAAGAGGACGCTCACCTGCAGGAGACACTTAGTTGTTACTTTCTTGCCCATGTGTTTTACCCTTTTTCTGGAGCATATGAGCTCTAAGCTACAGGTTATTTGTCAATTTAAACTTTGCAACAGACTCCAATCTCTTTACATACCAACAATACCATTTCCCACAGGAAGACTTTCCAAACTCTCCGTAAGAAAAATGAACATGTTTGAAAGTGTATTAACAGCTTTTGGTGCTATGCCCTGCCTCCACAAGGACAGAGATTAGCAAACACACACACTGCAGCCTTTGTAAGAAGGGAGTAGGATGCACAAGTGCCAAGACATTTTCCAGCTGCTCACATGACCTGTCACAGGTGACACTTACCTTCATAAACCTTGATGGTCACTGTTGGCTGGTTGTCAGAAGCTGTGGAGAAGATCTGAGACTTCTTTGTGGGAACAACAGTGTTTCTTGGGATCAGTTTAGTCATGACACCTCCAACAGTCTCAATGCCAAGTGTCAAAGGACACACATCAAGCAAGACCAAGTCACCTAAAATGGATCAAGGTTAAGACTGTGATAAAGCCCCAGGTTCCTCTTGACAGGGCACAATGTCCTACCACTGTGGACTAGGCCCATAAGGAGCCTTAGGATTCTAAGGCCTGGAAAAGGGAACATAATTCAGCTCTCCCCATACAGCATAGGTGTCAATAGGCAGTACTGACAATTCAGGGCCCATAGTTACTTACCTGTGTCTTGGTCCCCGGAGAGAACACCAGCCTGAACAGCTGCCCCATAGGCTACAGCCTCATCGGGGTTAATGCCCCGAGAAGGCTCCTTGCCATTGAAGAATTCTTTGACAAGTTGCTGTATCTTAGGGATGCGAGTAGAGCCACCAACAAGGACGATCTCATCAATATCAGATTTCTTGAGGTCAGAATCTTCCAGAACTTTCTGAACAGGCTTCATAGTAGAACGGAAGAGATCCTAGGAAGAGGAGGACAGTTCAGACTGTATTCCCCACATTTAATTGTGGGCTTAAGGTACAGAGAACCACAGTTACAGAACACCATCTAAACCAGTAACTCTCCTCCTCCCCAGTCATCCTGGGAGGGGGTAACTTCTTTCAAATTAACAGATTTATACCCTGCTCAAAACCAAGATTGCACTATGAAATGCAACACACCCCCATAGTCGCACACTGCCAATTTAGAACAAAGCTAGTGCAGCTACCTTTAGACACTTACCATGTTGAGTTCCTCAAACTTGGCCCTTGTGAGCGTCTCGGAGAAATCCTCCCCTTCAAAGAAGGATTCTATTTCAATCCTGGCCTGGTGCTGAGATGACAAGGCTCGCTTTGCCTTCTCCACTTCCCGCCTTAGCTTCTGTACAGCTCTGTTATCCTTCCTGACATCTTTTCCAGTTTTCTTTTTGTAGAGTTTGATGAAGTGCTCCATAACACGTTGGTCAAAGTCTTCTCCACCCAGGTGAGTGTCTCCATTAGTAGCCACAACTTCGAAGACTCCATTGTCAATTGTGAGGAGGGAGACATCGAAAGTCCCACCGCCCAAGTCAAATACGAGGATGTTCTTCTCACCCTCTCTCTTGTCCAATCCATAAGCAATGGCAGCAGCTGTTCTGTATGGAAAATAGTCAAGTTAAACTTGGCTTTCTACTCCCCACCACCTTCCCCTCCTCCTCTCAAGATATTTAAGACCACTTACGGCTCATTAATAATTCTCATCACATTCAATCCAGCGATAGTGCCAGCATCTTTTGTAGCCTGACGCTGAGCATCATTGAAGTAGGCCGGCACTGTAACAACAGCATGGGTAACCTGGATAAGGGAAAAAAAATGAAGGGAAGTTTAGTTTAGAGGTGACCTTGGTAACATTAATGGAAGTAGTTCATTCATCTCTAAATAGAAGTAAAAACCCCAAAAGCCCTTGCAATTGGGTTGCACCACAGAAAATGAGAATAGGAGTTTACAAGCGCATGGTCAGTCCACAGACTCAGCTCAGTTATCTTTTAGTTCTGTAAAACTGCTGCTTTAAATTCTCCCAAGTAGCATCTATCTACTTACTTTCTTCCCTAAGTAAGCCTCCGCAGTTTCCTTCATCTTTGTCAAAACCATAGCAGAAATTTCTTCAGGAGCAAATGTCTTTGTCTGTCCACCACCAACATCCACTTGTATATGGGGCTTGGCTTTCTTCTCAATAACCTAAGAAATACAGACTAGATGTCACATCCCAGCAGTTCATGATTTTTTTCCTTAGTGGAAAGCGACATACTTTTGGTCTTACAGAGAATTAAAAGACCCTCAACAATGACCATTAATTTGAATGCTAGCCTTTCGTAACCTTGTGCCACCTCACTGCACCATAGCACATCTCAGCAAGGCTACAAATCTGCAGAGTGACTCAAATGTTGAGCTCTGCTTCCTTAGCCAAGTGACACAGGGCAGCACTCACAAACGCTCCTCTGACGAGAGGCCTCCCCCTGCCTTCCAACTTTTCCCCCCACCACTTTTCCCCAGCTCTGTGGGCACCTTGAAAGGCAGGTACTTGATGTCCTGCTGCACCGAGGGGTCGTTCCAGGTGCGGCCGATGAGCCGCTTGGCATCAAACACAGTGTTCTCGGGGTTGGAGGTGAGCTGGTTCTTGGCAGCATCGCCGATCAGACGCTCGCCCTCGGGTGTGAACGCCACGTAGGACGGCGTGATGCGGTTGCCCTGGTCGTTGGCGATGATTTCCACGCGGCCGTTCTTGAACACGCCGACACTGTGGCAGCAACGCGGGGGGGTGGCGATGTCAGACGGCACCGGGGACGCTGCCCCCC